TTTAGAGTATCTCAAAGTTCAAACAGTGTTGAAGACAAATACTTTAGACCTTGCTCATCCAGTGCTATGTTAGTTAAGGCAAGGTTCAGAGAACATGGGATGCTCCAGAGTACAGATGGGGCCCGGGTGCTGCTGTTTGGATCAGATAAAGTTCTCCCATTTCAGAGGAACAGAAAATAACAGAAAAAAAACCCAGAAAAAAACAGAAAAATAGAAAAGAATCAGGTACTGTAGTCAACCAATGTTTTGAAATCACTACAGAAGGCTGGTTATTGGGTTTCCTCACTATACAGACATAGGAAGTTAGATCCACCAAGCTAAACTAGCCCTCCACAAAGTTCTTTATTTCTCTCAAGGACTGCATTTCAAAGAGGTGTCTATAAATCCTACCATAAGGTGCCAGGGACTGGATTGGAGACCCTCTGCATGGAAAGCATTTGTTCTGCCAATGAATTATATCCCTTGAAACATGGCTTTGAAATACAGAACTTTCTCTGGATCAAAGAACTCAACGATGCATCTTTTCAGGTGGCAGTTAAAAAGCTGCTGTTTAAGTTCAAAAAGCTTCTAAACTCTAATTTGTTTAAAACCAGATTCTTTTCCTTCTTTCCTCTTTCATTTTTGATATGGCATTTTATGGTAGATGATGTTTCACTGCAGGTTTCTCTGAAGGTCACAAGGAATGTTGCTGTGGAACGGTGCGCCATGGTAGTGTGGTGGTCCATTTCTGATGCCACAGTAGGCATCTAAAGCTATTACAACTTGGGGTTGTTGTTATTATTATTACTACAAATACTTACAAGGTTTTCTATCTCAGGTGCCAAAATTGTTTGGCTGCCCTTTAGTAGCTACTTTGGGTCGAGCTATTTGCTGTTCTGCTTTCTTAAGCTGTTGTTCGCGAGGCACATGATGGTGGCCATACTTTCAGCCTCTTTCAGACCAAATATTGTGAAGGCCTTCTTTAACTCTACAGGGAGCGTTTCTCCTTGGTGGGAAAGAGAAGGTCAAAGCTACCTTAACAGAGATCAGGTGCCTCAAAAAGCTGTTTTTCAAGGTTCTCTTCCTGGCTATTTGGTTGGGGGGGGGGGCAGGAGGAGTGAGTGTAAGTGTCCAAAAAATACTGAACACAATATCAAATGAATACTTGTTTATTATGCTTTACCATGTATGATGGCAATCTTGGGGTGGGGAACAGGACCTTGTTTCTTGTCCCTTCTTTAAAGCTTCTGGAAGTAAGAAAAAAGCCTTTCTTTTTAGTAAGGCAGTCTATTAATATATTATTGTTTTATTACTGTAGTTACAGTTCTTTACTAACATTTTCTTTTTAAAAAATCATTTCCCTACTGTTTGCTCAGTCCCTGAATATAGGAGGAATTGATGTTTGTAAATTGTTCATTAACGGTTTTATTGTTGTTGGGTGCTTTGAACTGGTTTTGATTTTTTGCAGGGGGGAGTGTGGATATGTATTTTAAGTAAATAACATTATCTTTTACTGCCTGGGTTCCCAGTATGTCACTGTGGGCACAGTGTGCCTGTCAATAGATTCCTTGGCACCCTCCAAGCTCTTTGCATGATTTCCTTTACTTCTTTAAAGATTTTAATTTTTACAACATGGAATGGAAGCTAGCATCACTTTCAGGTATAATTTATATTTCCAATGGTGCCTTTGGGCACAGTGTAGTTCCTAGAGGCATTTTTAAAAAATAAAATGATAGGTGGCTGCAGTTCAGTGTTTTGTCTTCTTCCCTGAATGTTGGGATTGGCCACCATCATGCCAACCACTTGGCTCAGACATATCATTGCTGTCTTTATCGCATTACCCTCTCTTTGATGCAGTTTGCCTAGCCAGGATGTGATGTTCTGCATCATCCTGGTACCCGCGGGCTCTTTCACAGCCACTGGATTGGAGCTCTTTCTCACCTTATAACAGCTCTGCTTGGAGGTTCTCCTAGTCATAGGATTCCCCTTATGAGATGACTGTAGAAACCCCACCCATGATGCTTTAAATTCTCCTTTACCCCAAAGGGATATTTAATCATCTCCTTATATTACAGAATGTCTATTTTGTGAAGCCTGTCCAATTCAGTTCTCTGTATTTATTACACTTGTATTTCAGAGACCCTGGAACATTTCAGAAAAGGGAAAGCAGGCTCAGAAGACCCAATATGTCTTTTCTCCATGTCAAAATAGGAAATGTGGAAAAATAAATGCCAGGTATTTGCAAAATAATAATACATACATACAAATATTCACATTTTAGATAAACAACTCTAAACATTCCTGTTCCAAAACACAAGGTCATTTCAAAATCCAATTCCCATCCCAATTATGAACACGTGCACGCACACAATAAATAAAAATATACCTCTCCCAACTTCAGCTTGCTCAGAAAGGAGGCAAGTGCTAAATGAAGGGCAAAGGATAAGGAAGATCCAGTGGCTGACTGACAAATTATGGCTTCCAGAACTTTAGAATATTAGCCCATCATTTCTGAAGGAGACAGCTCCTTCACGGACAAATAATGGAACAATGTTACTTTCTGTTCCATCTGCTGCCTAAATATTCCAGAAGAACACATCATGTTCTGCAAAGATGAAATGACAGGTTATCCTTGAGGACCATGATGACAAACTCTTGATGGATGTGCAAGTAACTCTTCCTGAACTAAAAGTTTGATGGGTGTGCTTTTCCCCAAAGTCCTCTCACGGGGCAATTAAGAGGTTGTTAGAGTGTAAGCAGTTCTTATCTCACATTACTTATGGCTGCAGGAAATAACATTGGGCCAAGCTTTTCCCTTTCTAGAAGCCCTTGGCAAAACATATCTGAGCCAGGCTAAGAATAAGAAGGGAATCACCTATTTTATCTGGCACAGAGGTTCTTGTATATTTTCTACCGAAACTGCTCCTGTGCTGGATCATGCCATGACAGAAAAAGACAGTTGGGAATTCTTCCCTTTCCCTTTCTCAATGGGATGCACTACAGCAGCAGTAAGATGCATGTGACTTAAGAAGTTGGGGAAAAATGCATGGACAATGGCTGGTGACTTGTTTTGGCCAAACAAGGACCTCAGTCAAAAGAGCTCAGTTAAACTATACACAACCCCAGGTTGAAAGTGAGATCTTTTTGCAGTGAGCAGGAAAACACAGCACCCTTCAGATTTCAGTGGCAATAATGTCCTCATAAGGGACATCAGTTCCATGGAGGTCAAGATCTAAGGGCTCTTTACCATCCTCTCCAGCAGCCAGCTGCTGGAGCATCTTCTCCAGGTTTTGGTTTCTTTTGTACATGTGAAGGTAGCTTTGCTGCAGCTGCTTCTGGTACTGGATCACTTTCTCTTTCTCCTCCTTCCAGGTTTGCCGTTCCTGCTGAAAGTTTACTGTCATCTGCTTGTTGCTGTCCTGCTCCTCCTGCAGCTCTTTTTTTAGCTTCTCTACTTCCCTCCACAGGGCTTGGGCATCTTCCACCATACTTTCTTCAAGGCCCATGGAAACCACACCACACTTCATCTCCTCCCTGAGGATGGTCAGTTCAGTTCTCAACTCTGCAATCTCCTGTTCCAGCAAGTTCACTTTCTCCCTTAGTAGCTCTGACTCATTCTTCTTGCGCTGGAGTTCATTCTCACATACCTCCAGTTCCATGGCTTTGGCATGCAATGAATCCTCCAAATCCTGAATTTTCATCTCCAGCAGTTCCATCTTGGCCCGGATGTCCTTCAGCTGAGCCTTCAGATTGAGGACCTCGTTGGTCTTGCTGTTGAGCTCTGTCTGGGATTCTTTCAGTTGCTGTTTCAGGAGAGATATTTCACCAGATTTCTGACAAACCTGTAGGAACACATAATAGCTAGAATCAGGACCACATCCAGAAATCCACCTGCCAGAGTTCTAGACTGTATTGCAATTCAGTCTGCAACACAAAGGAAAATGGATGGTGCTGAGCATGGAGTATCTTTATTTCAGGTCAAAGACTGCATCTTTTCACAGATCAGCCATGAAGGTGAAGCCAGTAGCAGGCAGGGCTACAACTGAAAGAGAAAAGGCCCCTTCTCTCTCTGCAGGCAGCTGGGAGAACAAAGTCACTGCTTAAGAAGGTCTCTAAAACTAGATAGAGAAACATAGATTGCTCATCCTGGACAAAATCATCCAAAGGGAACCTTCTGTTTGTTTCACTTTTATCTAAAATACAATTGCAGGGAACATATGGCAATTCCCAGGCTGTGACATCCCTGCTTTGGGAATTCCATCTAGTATCACCATCGTATGTCCTGGTTGCCTACTAAAAACATTTTTTTAGGCAGGTATTAATTTTGATTAAACAGTACAGAAGACTGGAACAAGTTTCCCCTCTATTGAGATGGAATAGTCTTACCTCCCACTGTGTTTCCTCTAGTGCAGGAGCAAAGGTGGTCTTCTCTTTCTCATAGGTCCTCAGCTTGTTCTCCAGAATGTCCTGTTCCTTCATCAGGGTTGACAGCTCCTCCCTGAGCTGCTTCTTCTCCTGCTGCAGCTGGAACACCTGCAATTGCAACAGTTGTTGTGCCCGCTGGTTCTTCTGTGATGTCTGCTTCAGTTTGCTGTTGCATTTCTGCTTCAACCCTTCCATCTCCTCCCGGCAACGCCTTTGCTTTTCTTCATAGCTTTGGCAGGAGGTGATCTCTTTCTCTTCAAAGCTGCACTGCAACTCCTGGAGCTCGCCTTCCCGCTCCATCAGCTTCTGCTCCAGCTCCTGAATGGCTGACTCCTCGGTGGAGATGGGCGAGCGAACACAGGCACTATTCTCAGTCATATGGGGATGAGTTGAAGATTTGCCTGGGTTGAGGATCTTTGTGCCCCCATCAGAGAAAGACAGAGCTTTCAGGCTCATCATGTTACTGTCCTGCAGGATGGCACACTGAGTGATATTGTGAGCAGAGCCTCCAAATCGGCTGATGGGGCCAACAGGAGTGATAAGGGGGTCCAGCTGGTAGCTGCTGGCTGTACTGTGTGTGGGCAAGCTGGACATAGAGTTTCTCCCTGAGTCTGAGAGTCCTCCAGAACAAAGAGTGGGTTTACTCTCCAGGTCCTTGGCTTTGTCTTGGGATGGGAGCTGCTGGGCAGCATTGCCGTGATCAGGAGAAGAATGGAGGACTGTGTTTGAGCGAGGGAGCACTGGTTTGAAGGCAGTGGGCCTTGCTGCACTCTTCTCTGCAGCCTGGGGAGAAGGAAAAATTAATTAATGAAGGTCAAAGTTTCCTTTATATCTACTGCCATGGGAGTTTCTTTCTCCACTGGCTTCCTACATGGTGTTAAAACAGGCTTTGTTGATTTTGATTGCATGAGGATAAGGAGGTGTTGTTTTCTTTTTTATTCATTTTAAGTTTTTTCTCCCGTACATTTGGGGTTTTTTCCCCTAGCCCTTTACATCTCTAGTCCTGTTTGTAGGCTTCTCAAATAAAGCGGTTGTGTTCACACAACATATTGAGCCAGGTGACTTTAAAAGTTTTTTTTTAATTGCTGAGAATATTGTGTGTGAATCCACCCCATCTGGTTAGTTTAAGATTCAGTGTATTGTGTGAATCCAGAAAATTGGTTAATTCAATAGTCACCTTGTGTTGTGTGAACGACTGACTGACTCATAGGATAAATCTGAAGGTATACCACATTAATTCATCATCTGATCCCACAGATCAAGAGAGGTCCTTCTATACAGAGGCTGCCCTTAACATATTTTTGAGAGTAAGGACTGCAAAATCTGGGTGGTTTTCTTTTTTTTACGTTGATGTGGCCATTTTAGGTCATACGGTTTCCATATGGGAATAGCTGGGAACTGGGTTTTCAGTTTTCAGCCATCCTGATTAATGAGGGCTCTGAGGTCTGCAGAAGGGGGACCCAGGAATCCTATGTAAACCTGGGGCTACAAAATTTCCTACCCCTGAACTACAATGACCAAGTTTAACTCAACTCACTAGTTCCAGCTGGTTGGAGCCTGGTTTCAATTTGGGGGGTGTTGGGGTACCATAGTCCACGCTGCTTGTCCCAGCCTGACCTTCCAGCTCACCACCAGAGAGTGGGGCATAGTCTGTTCGGTGTGCCTTCTGGTTCACTTTGATGTAAAAGAAGTCCTCGTTCTTATTGCCCTTGGAGCTGGACTTGTTGTGGCCAGCTTCTTGAGAGAAGCCAAACTTCAGCAGACCATCGGAGTACCTGTTCAATTTCTTCAGCTGGGATGACTTACGCAGCTTGTACTGAGATGCCCGACAATGCTTACTGTGGAAGCTGTGCCCAGAGATGAGGCTACTGACACTTCCCATGATGATATACTTGAATGGAGAACGTGTGCAGAAGAGAGATTGTGCCAGGACTGTTTTCTAGAAGGCTGTCCTGACTGCTGAGAGGCAAGGGTGGTGTGGTCATAGCCAAAGCCTTACTCTGCTGAAGAGCAGCAACCCTGCATGGATGAGACAAGAACATGAGAATGAATGAGATGAAGACATCTAATAATTCTGCCCTGAAACAAGGCACAGTGGACCTGCACAAGATTAGGTAAATCACCTCTCGGGATGGAAATAGCAGTGCCCTTAAGCAAGGGTAAAAGGGTTGCAAATTCATAAAGCCAGCAGGTGGAAAGGTGAAAAACAGTAGGAAAGTAAGTGGTGGAACCCACCGATCATCTTATTCAATTATGGTTTACAACAGTGATGGGGAACTATAGCTCCCAGCGTTTCTTTCCAATGGCTATGTTGGCTAGGAACATTTGAAGTTTTAAGTCAGTAACATCTGGAGGGTTCCCATCCCTGGTGGACAATTGTTTTTGCATACAGGTCTCCTGCCAGGAAGCAACCCATTAAAAAAGATGATTTCAGGCCACCACATCAACTTTTTATCAATTCTTGAGTTTATCAGATTTACATTCCACTTGCCTGTCACTAAAGCAAAAACGAAACATGAGCCTGACTGCAGGGCATGTATCACCCCAGACACAGCATATATATCCTCTCTGCATATCCAGGGAGGGCTGGTAAAGACTCTATCTGAGATCCTGAAGAGCTGAAGATAATGTTAATTGCATGAGCCTGTAGTCTGATCTGGTTTATGACAGGTTCCTACAATTGAGGTATAGCTCTGAACCTTGGCAGGAACTCAAGAGTGAAGCATATGTTTTGCATACTAAACATCTCAGGGAAGGATAAAAGGACTCCATTGGAACTGCTGGACAACCATGTCAGTCAATATAGACCATACTAAACTAGATGGCTAACCATCTGATAGATTATACCAGGGCTGACTGTAGCATTAGACAGGAGTAAGGCCACTGTGTTCAGTGACGGAAGCTGTAAGGAGAGGAATGGGCTGTGATAACCACCCTTGGCCATTCCTCTCTGCCACTCAAACTAGCCTTCTACTCTTCAGTGTGGTGGGGGATGCTGCCTATGAAAGATTCATGTGGCATCTACAAGTGTAATGAGACAGTGGCAGGCAATACATCCTTCAGTCTATGCAGTAAACTGTCTGGAGCTGGCACTGATCATAAGGCAGATTCATGAGTTCATATGACATAAGATCCAAATGTTATGCAAAACAAGTAACTCAGGATGGTGATGGACTGGAGGAGGAGGTCATCCCAAGGGTCACCAGACACATTAAATGTATTTCACATTTAACATGCAATTAAAGAAATGCAAATGTCAGCTATTGGGAGGGGCTGATAATGATCAGGTTGCTAGTGGGAGATGGGGTGTCGAACCTTTTCCGTTTAAAAACTCCAGCAAAAACAATTTTCCCTAGCTGAATGTTTTCTTTCAATAGATCTTGTAAGCTAGGTTCAACCAAGTTAATCCTCCTCTTGCCTTCCCTGTATTTTCCTGCACTTTTTGACCTATCTCAACAGAGCTGTTGCAGTGGCACCTAATTACAAATAATGTCTGGTATAGCATTCTTGAACATAAGTGGCACGAAATGCACACAGTATGTTATTATCATCATCATAGCTCAGAAATGCTTGGCGAGCTGGTGATCTTATTTCCTTGGGGTGAAAAAGATAAGTGTTCCTTGCAATTCCAATGTGTCTTGGCTTGGAAGTAGAGGAACATACTTTTCCTGATGCGTATTTAGAAATCTGGGATTCATGCCGCCATTACAGGGAGATGGATCGTTAATGTGCCAATAAAGCCAACAATTTAGGTTCTTTGGTTTTTGCTATCCATGGAGTGGATGTTGGGGAGGCTGTGGTCCTGTCTTCCAAGTGGATGCTTGACCTGCTTTCTCTGTAGAAGCAACGTTCAAGTTCCAATGGATGTAAGCACAGGTAGAAAATATGGGCCACCTCCTCCTCCTCCTCCTCCTCCGTCTTCCTTCCTTCATCCACCTCCAGCTTGAAAACAAACATTTTCCAGCCAAGCAGCTGCAGAAGTCTGCGTGGGAGAGAACAAAGATTGCAGGGAAACTTGAAGGAAAAGGGTGGCTGCAACTGATGGCAGAAATAACATTATGGAGAGGAAATGGTAGGGCACAGATTCTGCTCGCCCACTTGTGGAGACAGATTTTCTCTCCCAACCCAGCCCCTGTTCTGCTTTTCACTGCTGCCTTCTAGTGGATTCTACTAGAAAGTTCCCTTTAGTCTTCCAGGAACCAAGTGCCCCATGAAGTCTACAAGTGCAAGAAGGCAATGGCTTGAAGGTGGTTTCCAGGCAGCTGGGCATCTCTTCCCCTTCCTGAATAAGATCTCACCAGGGCTCTAAGAAGGTCAGGAAAGAAAGGGTAGATCTGTTGGTGTTTTGACTTAATAAAAACATGGAGAGAACTTTGAATGAATGGATGGAGGTAGAATGGAGATCGAAATGAAGCTTAAATACTGGACTGGGTAATTCTTTCTTTGGGAATCTGATGTTGAAAAAGCAACAAAAATTGGCTTCAGTCAGCCATCCATTTATAGGCCACTTTTTTACTATATCAAACCTTCATAAACGTTTCATTACATCAAAATATACACACAACAAATATTTATACATAGACATATTTATACACAGTTATATATGTATAGCTCAGTTAAGAGCCAACTTCATTTCAGTTGCGGTCATGCTGAAAACATTTGTTTATTCGTCCTGACATTTGGCAACTCATAATAATCCTGGCTATTGGCTTGTAGGTTGTACAGTTGATAGGCTTACTTTTATTTTGATTGTTTCATATATTTGTATTTTAAATTGTATAAATATATGTCAACATTTTATGCTACACTGGGATAGCAATGGAACAGAGATACATATATGCAAAACGAAACGAAATGTAGTAGACTCGGAATACAACATTTGCTGCCTTTCAGGAAGACTTCTCTTCCCCATATGACAGTTCAGTCCTTCCTACCATGGAGATGTTCTACGCTGGTTCCAGGAACCATTTAGTCTTTTCACTCCAGAACAGACAGGGTTCTTCTCCCTCTAACCTTTTTTAGAACTGTGGAATTAAATCATTACATAGCATGGCTGGGCCCAATTGGTGGGATTAAATTCAATTAGATAGAAGCTTGTTCATTAACTGGGGTGGAGGGGAAATGGCTGGCTCCTTTGTGCCATTGCTGAAATAAGGGAGAGCCAATCTCCAGGTCGTGTAATACTGACATTCAACAGTGGTCCAGGATCTGGAGAAGGGAAAAGAAAGTGGGAAACAGCCCAGTTATTAGAAAGCAAATGGAAGTGGAGGGGAGGTGGGTACCCCTGGGCAAATTTCTGCCCATAGGTGACAAACAATGTCTGGATTTGCAAGCCACTGAAGTGATATTTTCCTTGCCTGGCGGGTACACACAGACTGGCTGTTAGCATATGGGAGACTTGCAACTTGAGAGGCATTAATACCAGGAAAGCACCTGGCAGTGGCGAGCCAGTTATTACAAAAGGGCAAGGCCTGGATCCCATTCTCTGTGTTTCAAGGCAGGAACTGCCCCTGCCTCCAGCTGGATGAGCCTTAACAAGATATTCAAGAGCCTGTTAACTAAATTAACCAATGTGGGAGGGGAAGAGGATAATGGGAACATATGAGGGGCTTGTTAGAAGGTCACTGGAAGCCCCGCTGCTCATTTTTGTGCAGCACCATGAATGTCAGAATGCTGACATCTTCCTGGGACCCATTTATAAAGGAGGAGTGGCACATTGAGGGTAGAATTTCAGGGCAGATGTCCTGGGTCCCACTCAGCAGAATGACTAAGAGGGATGTTGCTTACTGGAGAATCAGCTTATACCACATTTTGCAGTTAATGGACTAATACACATTAGCATCTCAAAGGGAGAGGGTGCAAAGCCATGAAATGCAAGCTATTAAACTTAGATGACTGAGTGGGAACATTTTGAGAGAGCTCATTTTCCCTCTGGCTCCAGCAAAGGGGGTAATGACTGGGCTTAGAAGGCATTGTTGGGAAAGTGAAAGAACCAATTTTTGCTCCCAACTGATCCCTTCCCTCCCAATATCGCTGCCACCTCTTGTTAGAGTGCTCTCTCCTCCTGCCCAGAATGCAGCTGAACGGAGGTTGATATTCTTTCTCCTTAATGCTGGCACTATTGCTTAAGCACAAAAAAGGAAGATAAGCAGAACGAAACAATGAAGGGACAGAGAGTCAGAGCTGGGGACCTCTTCTATAACAAGAGATTTCCAGTGGGCCTGAAGACTTAGGAAGACTTGTGATGCTGGCCTTGGAAAGGACATTCCACACACTTTGCCTGCTGGTAAATCAAACCATGGTCTTCATAGTGTTTTCAAGGCTTCAGCTATGCTGTTCCTTCAGCTACTGAATTAAAATGAAGGAAAACTGTTAATACTCCTTTCTGGACACTTCAAGGTTGCCTGTATCTAGAAATAAGTCTTTTCCTTATTTTCCTTTCCAAGAGCATTCCAACACACCTATTCAAATATACCTCATTCTGTAAACGCTCACCTTTGTAGGAGAGGTTAACACTTCACAGGCAACATCACCACCAGACTGGGTCCTATGCTTGCTCAGTATTTATATCATCAGTGTCACAGTGATACCAACAGGAAACAAAGCCCATGATGGATCCAGATACCAGCACTGTTTCTGAATGTATCCTGGAATACTTACAGGACTTAATAAAATTGCCCATAATATCGGGGGGGGGGTGTCATTTTCCAATGTGATCCATACCATCATTGCCCTACAGTAACCAAAAATAGCAGGGGAATGCTTCAACCCCTTTGGGTACTTAATAGCTAACTTCAAATGACTACACCTGGAAAAGAATTACAAAGGCTGTAATTCAGAAAACAGCTAAGTAGGATCAGGCAAGCAGAAAGAGAGGGAGTTTTTATTGTACCATACATACTAAGCAACTAACTGGCACAAGACTGCCTATGTCATCCAGACAACTGCGTTGTAAATGGCCATTGTTGATAGATAAGTCTCATTGCCCATGCCTGTCGTACTTCATTTTTCTTTTG